TACGCGTATTTTAAAATATTCTAAACATCAAAATGTAAAAATATAAATATGCGAGGAAAATTAGGTTTTGACTAAAATTAAATAACTTGTACGAAAATCAATTTTAAACAAGAACAAGAACGAAATCGAAATAAATACGTAAACTCCTCGAAGCTTTGATCTTTAATTTTTAGATTTCGTTTTAAAATTTAATGCGACAAGGTAAAACGAGAAATTTTACACGCATTGAAATCTCATTGAAACATAAACATTTCCTTTTTCTGATTAAAACTAGAACCCATTAGAAAACCGAGCGATAAAACGCAACGATGAAAGGCAAGAGACAATTTATTAGATAAGAACCTCTCTTCCTCGGATCTCGTTACATTTTTCTTTCGCCTGTGGTTTCGAGTACGGAACGCATTATACTTGCAAACCTCGCTTACACGTACAGAATCGAACAGAAGCGGTTGTGTCTTCGGCTATATTATGATCCATAAAAAGAGGGTACAAGTGCGAACTCCCAAGAAACTTTTATTACCGCATTGACGAAGGGAAATGTAGCTTTGTTCTTCGTCAACAATTACTACTACCTTATCCTCTAGTCTCTCTTTCTCTCCTTTAAATTCTAGATTCCAGATACCTCTTTGACCCTTAAATTTTTGATTAAGAAAACAGTGATGTTGGATATTTTAATTATAAAATTTCTATAGAATTTTTTTTTTTTTTTTTTCATAAAGTCCTTATCAAAGGATTCAACAAGCTGAGAAATTCTTTTTAAAAATTTTGAAATTTGAAATTTTATCCTTTGTGCTTTAATTTGTTTGATTATAAATATTATAATTTTACACGCACTCCTGATATTACAGTATATACATTGTAAATATTAATTATACAAACAATGTATACGCGTTGTATTATTAATGGTATTTTTGTTTTCTTGTTAAATACGTGTGGGAGTTGTGTACGTTCCCCGTATTATTAAAGGTAGAATAAATATGCGATAAATATTGCACACGATCATTCTTAATTATTTTCGTACTAATGCGTTCCATTAACCTGGGATATTTAGTTGAATCGATTGATTCAGTTCATCGAAAATGTTTTTACAATTTTCTTCGAAACGAAAATTAAAAGTTTCTATAAATCTGTGGGAAGAAATTGGAAAATAATTGCATCCAAGGTTTAAAATGACCAGCCTACGTACGATTGATTAGACAATTAATATTTTTAACCACCGATCGATCATTCAACGATCATTAAATAATTGCAATCGACAAACGAATAACATTAAACAATCGACATTTTACATTTCAATTTCTCAGAAAACAAGAAAACATTCAATTTTTTGGAGCATCGTCCCCGAGCAACGTCGTCGGTTTTTATCGCGTTTCTCAGAAACGATGAGTTAAAAGTCCATCCATCCCTCCCACTTTTTTTTACGAGAGTACATCGTTTCTTCAGACTAGGCGCTATAATTCTCGAATGTTTCTTTCATGATTATTCGTAACATAAACGTGTTTTTTCTTTATCTACCTGTAACATTTCCAATTTATCTAATATGTTTTAAGATACAAGTGAAGGGAACATTACGATTTTAATATCGTGTCGATATTAGTTAATACAGGGTGTTATACAGAAGATAAAATATTTTCGATATAATAAACACGAAAATCGATATATTTTTTGTATAAAAATGTCGATTCAGACTTTTGTTTATCGAGTTACGAAGTTTGTGTTAGTCGAAGCGAGACGGAAATACGGAGAGAAACGGTGGTGCGACAAAGATAAAGATTATCTCGCTTTATATAAAAAATAAATCTTTTAATCGAAACTTTTGTATATCAATTTTTCGACTATTTATCGATTCTCCATGAAAAATATTCCATGGATAAATAGAGAGACTTATATATTGTTGTATTAAATATTAAATATAATAAACTCGTGGATGAATGTACATCGTAAAAATAACAAAAAAAAAGAAAGAAAGAAAGAAAGAAAGAAAAAGATAAATTTGTTCTATTCGAAAAAGTAGAATTTCTTCTCTTTTTTATTTAAGTATAATCGAGTTATATGTGTATTTTTTAAATCATTTATATCAAAAGTATGGCTTATATTTCTGACGAAGTAGACCATCCATTAACTTTTGTATTTTTGCATTTTTAATACGAGAACGACCGTAAAATAGAGAGGAGAAATTTTTCTTTCCATTTTTAATGGAAAATATTACGAAGGTTAAGAACTTTGATATGATTCAGAATTTACACTGCATAATTATTTTTCTTAATTTGAACGTGAGAAAAGAATAATATAAAAAGAATAATCAAAAAATATCAAAAACGATTATTTTCTTTTATAAATGAAATTTATTGGAAAATCATTTGATACGGTTTAAAAGTCCAATAAATAGGACTTTGATGTCTTTTTGTTGAAGATATCATCAGCGCTCGCTCTTTCGCCATATAGCTGGTTCATTGAAAGACGAGGATAAAATAAGAAGATATTTCAACTGGAGAGAATGGTATCTCATATCTTTTTGTTCCTATTTCAATGTCTTTCTTTTCTGTGCCCCTCTCTATTATCACCATCGTATTGACAATAATCGATACGAAAGATATATAACATATAGCTCAATTTATACGTATTATCTATCTATTCAGGTATATGAAAAAAAAATGACTGAAAAGCGGTGACGTAAAATTTAAATAATGATAAATAACATATGAATATGAATATTTGTAAAGATATTAATTGTAAGAACAGAAAGGATTGAAGAAAAAATTATAATACGAAAAGTAAAATATAATAATTGTAGTAATAGAGTCAATAAGCTCTATTATATATTGCATTTATAATTAATTAATTAAATATATTGCACATATATAATAAATAATATATCAAGAGTATACAATTTTGCTCGAGGCTTGGAAATCCGAACTTCGGGTCAATACGGAAAAATTCGGGCAAATTCGGATAGAATCGGGCGGGATCGAGTGATATCGGGCGATTTCGATAGTTTTCGGGATTTTAATATTATTTCAAACTTATAAGCTCGAATATATTTTTTACATGTAATTTAATTTTGAACAATTTGAGATTAATTCAAAGTTATTTAAAGTAATTTAAAGAAAGTTAACGTGTATTTTTCTTTCGTTTATTTTCTGTGTGTAAAGAAACGTTTGGCCGAAATAATTTCAAGAAATAATGAAGATGACATTGCATCTAATAGGTTAGATTGAAATGCCATACACATTAATGATTTAATCGATTCGTCGATTGGAAATTTAATATATAAAAAAATTTTTGAAACGTGTTTATGTAAGTTATTCATTAACTTTTCATTTAACAATCTGTATATCTTTGTTAAATTAATATAAATGTTTAATATATATTGCAATTGTAATTGGAATAACCGATTTGATAATTTAACACATTTATCGTTGGAATGTCACTTCGATTCGGATAAAATCGATGATGATGAAATACGTAAAGACTTTATCGATCACGTTTAATGGCAATTCCAGTTCAATTCGGTATGTTCAAGCATGAATTCTCACGCGATCCGACACGACTCGAGGGCAACTGATCTTCTAATGGGTCTAGCTTCCAAATTGCTTATAGTTGATGTTGAGATCGAATGGCTGCTCGAATCAAGCATATACGCATGAAATCATTGTTATTAACATTTATCATGAAATATCGATACTTTTAAACTTCAAAACTAATTATTTCGTCATAAATACTTATAATATTCTTTATTCCCACGATTCATTTATTAAATTTCATGTAAATATCTCGACAATTTTATTTTATTTTTCTCGGAAAAACAAAAATATTTATTTCAAAATTTATAGTTTATAATAAAAATTAAATTACAATTTCAAGATTAAAAGTTTGAATGAAATTTGATGATAACACTGATAATGATAAAATCGGTTTCTGAAAACAATTTAACTTAACACGAAGGGTGTATCTTGCTGAAACATTTTTCCAACTAAATATAGGTTAGTTAATGTTTCATGTTAAACAAACAAGCCTTACTTCCTATGTATTATATTAGCAAACAATGGTTCAATTGACCTATTGTTAACTTGTATGGTAAACAAGTATAACGAGATTGAAACCCTTATAACAGTATAATAAAAACGTATAATAAATTAATCTTTTTAAACGTGAAATTAAAACAGTTTCGATTACATCAAAAACAAATTTTTCGTACTTTATGAACCATTCATCATTGCAAAAATTAAATCTAATTGTATATTGCGTATAGAATGCATAACTCTTCTATAATTATTAACCCTATAATTTAAGCGTTTATAATTTATATTATCAGCTTGAGAAACTTCATAAGGGTGTTCATAAGGGATGAAAATAATCTCCAATGTTAATAATTATCGCGCGAAAAGGTCTAACAATTTTAAGGATTTTCAATTTTCAAATCTTACAGAGAATATATTCGATTAATTAATATTTTGATAATTTGATACTCTCCTTTCCAAATATTTTTATCAATTTAAAGGGAAGAAACAAAAGCTAGAAATATTGAATAGAAATCAATAGTCACGTTGGCATCCCCCTTTATATAGGATTATTTCTACTATTTCTATAAGAGAAACGAGGGAATTTACTAATAATTCAAGCAATCATCGCATTCCGTTTCCCACTATAGTTCAACGTTTTGATTAAAAATGCTTTCCTTGAAAGCCACAAAACGACTTGTCCGACTGAGGAATTATTTATTCAAGTCATCGATCCATCGGCTAAATCGTATGGTAATGTAAATTGACTCGAATGTTTTGCTTATATCACAATATTTGAGAGGAAAAATAATTAGAATTTTTTTTTAAAAATTACGAAATGAATTGTCTTCTCTATAATATTTAAGTGAAATTATTTTTTAATTACAAGTTTAAATCAACGCGAAGCGAAGAATGGAAAAATATTAGAATCAATAATTCGCTCGCCACCCAAACTATAAATATTACACTTATTTGAAATCAAATTCGGCAAGACCTCACCTGAAATATGGTGACTTTTTTCAATACGGACAGATTCACATGCAGCGCCAATTCGGTCTTCAATTTGTCAGGTAACAATCCGAGAGCGGTGTTGATGTCACCTCCACCCTGTATCCTACCCCTGGACCAGCTGTAGTCGTACCACCTCAGCACCCTCCTCTTCATCCCGCCTGGTACTTTATGGTGTCTCATATACGTCTTTGCACCGTCCAACAGTCTCTCGAATTCCAGCCGATTCGCGTTCCGGTTGGTAATCACGTTTCCAACTTGACCGACGATCGTCGCGAATATGAAGACGCCGATCAGGTAGCTCACTATCGTGAAGACGTACCTACGGATCAGGAAGCGAGAAAAAGAGCCGATCAGTCCAAGGAGGATGTGATCAGTGTCCTCGGTTCATGGACGAGCGGCCCCCGCCGGAGCCTTTCTCCTTCTCTCTCTCTCTCTTCTTTTTTTATATTCTCCCTATATTCTCCTCCCTTATCTCCTCTTTCGTTCGTTCCTTTCCTCTGCCTTTCTCCCCTTTCTAACCTCTCTTTCTCTCTTTCTCTCTCTATAGCACACGCTCGACACTTGCTCTATCTGTTCTCACAACATTTACACGATGATTTTCCTATATGCATCGAAATGTGTATGTATCACGATTGTTATTTGAAATTGTGAATTTTAATATAATATGAATATAGGTGTATCGAAATATTCGAGTTTAATTTATATTTATGTTTTATTTCGTTTATAATTATTGGAATATAATTGGATATTTAAAGATATTGATAAAAGTAATTTGTAAAACAAGATTATTAAGATTTTTAACAACATGACACTATTTTATTGCTTTTTATATGGCACTTGTTACACATCACTGTTCATGTATTCATCATGTCAAGTGAAAAACAAAATAGACGATTTCTTGCTTCTAAGCTTCATTAATTCGTATTGTTTGTTATTGCATCGCGATCTAGAAAATCGTATTTACATTGCAAATTACTTGTAAATGTACTTAAATATTCATTAATAATCACACAGAATAGAATATATTAACATAATACACTTGTAAACATATATTTCGATACATAATTGTATTAAAAAAATATGTATTAGGCTAATGAATGTTACTATACTATAACATTAGACATTATTGTGTCTTTTTTTCATCAACCTATACGTGTATGTAGACTACTACAAACATATATATATATATTGGAAATCTCTACACACATTCCCGTCAAGATGTTCACATATGCATATGTATATTCACGTACATAATTTTCTTGCTCAGAAAAATTTTTAGGATTCGAAGATATGGCGACGAATACGAATTGCGGTAAGAATATTTTTCGGATTTCCTAGAGGAACTATCGAACAATTTCCTGTCATAAATTATTCATGAGGAATGCGACGAATCGGAAATTGAAATTTTTTTTGTTTTTCATGTCAAACGTGAACACGCGCTTTGGAAAAAGCGAATTTTAACACTTTTTGACCTCGTAAAAGTCAGGTTTTATACCCGTTATCGGCGATCTGGCCATTTCTGTTACGTTCTTTGCAAAATTGATATTAAATGGACGCGTCGTTACTTCGGTATTTATTTTTGAAAATATAAATAATTTAAAGATATTAAAAATATTATATTCAGATACACATTCGGATAAATAATTTCTCAAATATATCTGATAAATCTGATCTCATCTTTGGCCGATCAAAATTTTAAATAAAATCAAATTAATCTTAACGATTTGTATCCCTTTACGCCGATCGCTTCCGGTTCACGAAGGACGAACATTTTTCTGAGCGATTCTTTTCCATCCTCATTTTCCTCCATTCTTGCATTTATATCACGCGATCACGTAACCGCTCAGAAGTGCTTCTAGAGAATTTATATCACTCACGCACATACACACGGGCAAAGAGACAAGTTCGTGCATTTCTATCTCTCCAATTTTTCCTCCTTTCTCTCTCTCTCTCTCTCTCTCTCTCTCTTCATTCGTTCATTCTTTAACGAAAATTCTCGTCCACCCACTTTCTCCTTCCACCCCGGAATTCTCATACTTCCTGGAGCGCGTCCATGCTCTCTCAGACTCTGTCTCTACTTTTCAGCCATTCGTACTCTTCGTTTCCGCATCCTTTCATTATCTTCAAGCCAGCTGAGGCTTTCTTTCTCGCGAGTCTAACATTGATAGATAAGGAAAGAAATTTTTTTGCCTTCTTCATTATGATATTTTTACACAGGACTGTTTCATTGAAAGAAGAATCTTTATGAAAAGAATTTTTATCATTAAAAAAAAAAAAAAAAAAAAAAAAAGAACAAATCTAATTAATTTTTCCATTCCTAATTCTCTCTGAAAATATGCTACGCTAAAAAAAAAAAAAAAAAAAATTTTTTTTTACAAAAAATCGATATTTTCAAAGACCACGATAAATATTGTCTTCGAAGAAAAGACAAGATAGGTTTAAGATTATTTGAGATTTCCACAGGAACTCGGCAAACTGTCCTCAAGAATCTCCGGGTCAGGCCCGAAGGCTTAAGGTCAACGAGGAAGATTCGATTTGCGATTCGTTGGACTCTCGAGTTGACGGTAGATTAAATTTCACCCATACCACTTCTGGTCGTACCAACCGTCTCTTCTTACTCTGTATTCGCCCTCCTTCTCGAGCATGTGGGAGAGAGGGAGTACGCCAAAAACTCTCTGGTCATTAAGCGGTCGCGTCGTTAGGCGTGTTGCCAGATCTTGGAGAATTGGAAATGCAAGCTGGGTCAGCTGGTAGAACCACGAAACGTCGCTCAACGTGGAAAAAGCGGTAGAGAATATTTCCTCCTATTTTTTTCTCTCTTTTCTTTTTTCTTTTTTTTTTTTTGAAGGAACGTCACGCTTCGACTCTTCGCGTATCTTAATGATCGCGCAGAGAGAATCGTGGACAGGAAACGTGGAAGCTATCAATTTAGCAGGGCGGACACTCTCTCTCTCTCTCTCTCTCTCTTTCTTTCTCTTGGCATGGTGAAAAATTAGTTCGCGGCACGTCGTGCCTCGGAAAGACACTGTTCTCACCCGTGATTAAATTGTTCCGTTATTTAGCTTCGTGAGAAACGTGTGAAGTTAGGCAATTAGGTGATTAATTCATTCTTGGATTTGAGTTGTTTTAATTTTTATACATTTATTGGCTAGTTAATAATATATTATTATTTGTGAAAAATTTATGGTATAAATATTAATAAGAAATTTATTTTAGTTATATTATTGGTAAATTTAGATTATAAGAGTTTAACTTTTGGCCAAGTTCACAAATTTTTGGAATATATCATTTAGTTAGTGAATTAAAATAATAACAAATGTTTGAAATTATGTAAAAATTGATAATCTTATGATATATGAATAGAGATTTAATATTGATGTGTTTGAACAAATTTTAATATTAGTGTAAGTTAAAATTTGTTAAAATAAAATTCTTTTTATTTATTATATATTATATATGACATTTAATTCTTTTGCATTTAGTTGCATTGAAAATTATATGAATACGTGATATCAACATTTTAACCAAAACATTAATAAATTCGACGTTGAATTTTCACTATCCATAAATCTCTTAATAATCCATCATAATATCATTCCATCATTAATCTATCAAAAAGTCTTTCTCGAAACTGACAAGTTTTCCTCTAAAACTTTTCCTACAGTTTCTACACTCATCCTTCCTTGATTAATAAATCCAAGGACAAAATAAATCATCGATAAATTTCCTTCCTGAACAATATTCCATCGACATAAAAATGCGATTACAGAGCAAAACAATGTCGGTCGAAGACGTAATCCTTCTTATATCCAAACGATGAGAATTAAACTCGGAATAGCCAAGTTTCCATTCCGTTCAATTTATGACACAATATCCTGGACAACCTTGACCGTAGCCTAATCTCCAACGTCTACGAGATCCTCGATATTTTAATCAAAGCAATTTCCTCGGTTTCATTTCTCTGAAATTATTTTTCCAAGTGGTAGAGGCGAAGAGGCTCGAAAGTAAGAAACCTCTCGAAGTGGCTTCCGCGTTCCGCGAGGTTAAGAGGTGAGATTTAAATTCTCAGGGGATCGACCTTTTCTTCTGCTCTTAATTCATCCTAACCTTTCTTAGCGTGAAGTATCGTGTCCTTTCGATGGGTTGAATGATTTTGAACAGAGAATTTTGGAATTTTAATTTGCCCATAGTTTTTTTAATTTTTGTGATTTGATCTGTTGATTTGTTGAAACCTAACCTATTTTAATTTCTCTTTCTTAATATTGAAACATTATTTAATATTATAATTTTGAAATCCTAATTTTGCTATGTTCTTTGAATTTTCCAATCTTGATTTATTAAGACCTAATTTGTTAATTTAATTTAGCCTAACCTAATTTTTCTTTCTTTTTATTTAACGATTTTGAAGAAATAATCTTAAAATTTTAATTCTATCATCGTATTTGAATTTCCGCGAACCCGATATTGATTTGTCAAATTTTTAATACACTAATTTAATCTAACTTTGATCTAACCTAATTTTTTTTCTTTTTAACTCGAAGAGTAAAATTTTAAAATTTTAATTCTGCCATAGTTTTCAAATTTCCATGAATCCAATCTTCATTCACCAAACTTTAAATTACTAACCTAACTTAATCTAATCTAATCTAACCTAATTTTTTTCCTTAACATTTTCATTTCGAAAAAAAAAAAAAAGAAATAGTTTTAAATCCAATTTACGATATACTTCGTTCTAACCTAACTTTACACGATCAATGGTCTCGAAATGAAACAATTGGTCGTCCGGTATCGCATTTTCCTTATCTCTTTGTCCACGGATGGCACAATGCGACCGACAATGTGTCACGTGACGTGTTATTAATTCTCGCGTAGAGTGGGGGGTGAACACTTGCGCGGGAAAATTCGATCTCTCTCAGTGGAAATTGCATCGGTTGTTGGATGGAAGTGTCAAATCGGGGTGGAATTACGACGAGAAACGTAGTCGTAAGTCCTCGATTAATTTTATTTCGATGGAAGCCAGGCTTCGACTTGGTTACCCGCTTCCAGCCACTAAGGTTTTCATTTAAGCCAGCTGCGAAATATCGCGCGGGCTTATCCGTCGACTCCTTTCTCTTCGGGGATTTCTTTTTTTTTTTTTGTAAAACTCGATGGTTATTGGATACGAAACCGGTTTTATGGCGTGGTACGTTCCTTGTTTTTTCCAATCATGATTTTCCGTTTCGTTATATTTTTTTGAAATTTTTACTCGTTGAAATTTTTGAATGTTGTTTATTATTCATTATTTTATAAGATTAAAAAAATTTTATTAATGATTTCTTGTTAAAAGATTTTCCTAAGATATTTTTTTTAAAAGATATTAGATTTTTTTTTTAATTATATTATTCTTGCTCTGGGAAATCTATATATATGTATCTAATCGTAATTAAGTAATTCAGAGTAAGGTGCGAGGATGTTGAAAACTTTTTGTTAGAATTTTGTAATAGAAATTATAGTAAACTTACAGTATTTAGGAGAAACGAATTCTTGAGATAACGATGGATTATTTAGAAATATCTGAATTGTATATTACTATATAAAATTAAATTTCATATAGTATTATATTCCAATGAATTTTTACTTTATCAATTCAAAGTGCAATACGAGAAATGAAAACAATAAAAATTTTCATGTAAATAATAAAATATATTTCGTGTAATATTTTTTTTTATATGTCTTTTTTAATCAAGGTTTAATATTGCATATTAAATTATCATTTGATAAATTTTTAAGTTAATAAATATTGAAAAATTTATGATCGATGTATATGTGTATCGAAAATTTATGCATCGATATATGTTTAATATTTCTCGTAATATTAATAATAAGGAATTAACACGTTTTAAAATATTTTTTATTAAATTATTTAAATTAATTTCAGTATATATTTTTATTTTAAACGAATATTTGAAATATTGAAAACTCAATTTAAATTTTATCAAAACTTTTCAATTTAACAATTTACACGAAATATTCAATTTATTTAAAAAAAATCTCAATCTGTTAAATTATTAGAGGAATTATTGAGTATAAGATTAAAATTCAGATGAATTTGCATTAATTTTGTGGCAAGAAAGTAAGCATTTCTTGAAAATTACTTTCCACTTCCCTGATATGCAAATTATTTTTCAGAAGAAACGGAATGAAAATCTTCTTCCTTAATTTCACATTGAAATTCATGTCCCCCTTGATAATAAAATTATTTTCGCAACGTTGATAATTACCAAGTAACAAGTCCTTCTAAGATAAGTGTCTAATGAAGTTAATCTCGACGTTCATTGAGAACGTAATAGCATTGCAAATTTCCTGGATGTTCAAGTTTTTAAACTTTCAATTACGATTTCTTCCTTTTACACGTAATTTTTCACGTAATGTTATAATTAAAATCAAACATAGGAATTTCATTAGAATATTGAACTCGAGCTTGAAAATTATCATAAAAATTTCATTCTTTTGTTTTCCCTTAGCAAATTCCCTGTGTAAAACGTTCTATTTGACTTGGAAAAAAGATTATATGATTATATTTCTCAGATGAATTGCCATTTTTATGCAAGATCAATATTTGTATTCAGTGTCAAGTTATCTTTTTTTTGATAAAGAAGTGAAAAAATAACTAACTTGTAAATAAAAATTTAATATTTTTACTGTTAAATTGATAGCAGATTCATTGAAGAAAGACAAAATTAAATGTATAAAGTAAATTGTTAAAAATTTCAACAAATTGATTGATATACTTAATAAAAATATATAAAAACTCAAGATCTTTAATTTTTTTGATAAATAATTAAAATTAAAACTTTTAAAGATTTTATTTTTCTTCTATTATGTTAGGTTATAGTTTTTTGTAATGTTTTGTAAAATATAAATTATGTGATTTCTTTATACAAATTTGTCTCATAAGAACAATATGCAAATTTTGATCTTTCTCGTCTAATATTATTCTCTTTCATTCTATCTATAAGTAATTAAAATTTTAATATAATTTTCAATTTTATATCTAAAAATTATTCATTGTTTATTCTTTTTATTGCCTCTATTCACCTTAACCTATTAATTCATCTCTATTAAATCAATCTTTTCATTTTAGAGAAATTTTTTATCCATTTCTCTAAAATAACAATGTTTCATTCCATAATCATTTTATTGTAAGAAATAAGAAAATAGAACTCGTCTAACCTCGAAATTATTCGCGCAGTAAACTCCATCCAAAAAGTACAAACACATCACAATTCAAAGATCGACCATAGAATATTTTATCCTAGCGCCCTTCCTAGTTTCCTTTCGAAACTTCTGCAAATGAATTGTCCATGCCTGCCCTCTATCGGTCGAATTTCTTTCGATCGGACCGCCATTACGATAGCGAACCGATGAGGAAGATAAGGTTAACAATATCGAGGATATTCCCGAGCTATCGACGAATACTATAGTTTAATGTCACTGAATTACTCTCTATTGGAAGTGCACCCTTTATCTCTGAAATTGAGTGCCAATTTCGGTTTATTAGCTTGTGGACAACTGTGATTCGATACCGAGGTAATTTTGTTAACGTTGTTGCAATATAGATATTTTTTGATATTAAGAACAATTTCAATCTTTTGTTCATTTCTTGTATAACAATTTTTTATTCGCGATAATAAAAAACGATTATTATTTTCATGGCAATAAAGGAAATATTAATTTATTAATTTGTTGATTAATTTTTAAAAATGAATGGATAGAAAGAATATTTTTCAGATATTTTTTTATTCGTTCTTCTGAAAATTATAATTATCTTTGGGAAATTAATTGAAATTTATAATGAATTATTACATAACAACCATATCATTGTATGACACCACATAAATACATTATGATGAAGTATCACAAATCTAGAATGCATTTATTTTATTAATTTCCACGTGATTCATAGCAACAATTAACGTATAATAATTGAAGTACATATCAATTAATTTTATCAAAAAATATTAATCTTTACTTGAATATAGATACACAATAAATATAACATTAGAAAAGAACCATGTAATAAAAAATTATGTTTAATACAAAAAAAGTAAAAGATTTTTTATGGATTACCCTTAGAGAAACAAATCTAATTAGAAATATTAATTTTATAATAAGGATCTTTAATTTTAAAAGTTAAAATTAAAAAAGTTCGGCCAAGATCGTAATATATCGTGTTATTCAATACTTGATTTAATCGATTGTGAATCAGCAATAATCGAGATTTCGTCGATGACGCCCGAAATTTTCCGATCTGATCCGAATATATTTTCTATCTAAAATATATCTTTCCATACAATTTTTTTTCTCTCATAACCAATTAAATATCTAATTAATTAAATTATAATACATATAAATGTTACATCGAAAAATTTTAATTGAAATTATAAGAACCACATTAAAAATATCACTTGTCACTATTCTCAAAATCTATTAATGTTTCAGTAATCGAGGTTCCATTGTAATAACACCTGCTACGAAGCAAGATAAGTAAGTTCCAATTGCATGACAATGAAGAACGCTTCAAGACACCGTTGAGCTTCTTGCCAGTACTTAATACGCTCGATCGAAGAACGAATGAAAATTCCATGGAAGGGGATGGATCTACCATTGGCCGATAGAATATTCGCCAAGGTATTATTCAAATTAAATGGAATCGACTGTCGTCGACCGCGGGTTAGGACCGTTTGTAATAGAGCTAGGCCGGAATTCGAAATGCCACCGATAAAGGATGGGTTTCACCGTTCCGAGAAGAACATTCCCCTTTGTCGTCGATACCCGTTCAACGACACGCTCACATCGACCGAAAATTTTATGATGTCTTCAATGTCCATCCCTTGTGAACAGCAATCTTTTAGAGACTTTCAGAAGTATTGAGATCGGATGAAGAAATTAAGACAAGGATCGTTTCACCTTTCAACTTTCAGCCTGCCAAAGGATCTTGGATCTTTGTTGTGCAAGTTTTTCTCCTTTTTCTTCTTTTTTTTTTGAGGATGATTTAAGTTAATGGATTTTTCTTTTCTTTTTGACAGATTATAAGTTTGTATGAAGTCATTGTAAAGCAGAAGAAGAAAATATATTGGATATCACAAAACTTAATTGAATGAACAAAATTAAATGTACTGGGAAAAAATCTTGCTAAATTTAGATTATTTTTTATTTTTTAGATATTGAATTATTGCATATAACAATATATTAGTATTGATAATATTAAAAAATGTTTTTAAGTATCTGAGAAAAATAGAATGAATTGTATGTATTCTGTATTATATGTAATTCTGTATTACATAAAATTTCATGAATATAATATGAAACATAATGAATTACATATGAAAGAATTTTTTAAAGTTTCAATATTTTATAAAATGTATTATAATTTTTGTTTTTTAATCAAATATTTTGTTATAAAAAAACATTTCTCACTAAAATTATATAAAATATGAAAAAAATTTGAGATTCTCAAAAAGATTTTACATAAAAAGATAAATTTCTTTATGTATAGTTCACATTCTATATATACACAAAAATATCAAATTTTTTAAAATTCCTGTAACATATGTATATATATGTATGTATACATTATTTTTATATTAATTATCAGCCACTATTTACATCTTGTATATAGTATCCTGAAAATTGCTATGATTGAATCTATCTGCAGTATAATATTTAAAAAAAAAATTCCTAACCATAATTTTCTGTATTTTTTAATCAGAACCATTCCATTATGGATATTAAAATAAAAAAAAAAACAGAAAAAAAAAGATGAGTTTCGATAAAATTTCGACTAATGGCTAATCCTCGCGAAACGATTGTCGCATCGAGGGAAAATGCGATAGAGATCGATCGAGATTTCGAGATATCGTGAAACTCGATAATATCGATTTGAGGAACGCATTTGTTCGTCGCATCATCGTGTCATTTTGTCGTTTTGTCGTTTTGTCAATCGTGATGAAACCGTAGATATTCCGTGGATTTCATACAAATTTTTCGTGGCTGATAAATTTTTCATTCAAATTCTTCTATATTAAACGTGTTAAGTTGATTGTCTTATAAAGCATGATCTGTGACTTTGTAATATGTTCGTACGAATGAGTGACTGTGCAATATTGGAAGTAGCGATATATTGAATATTCAAATTTTAAATAGTGAACTACTGTACGTCTTGTCACACCTTGTGAGGTTAAAAATTATTAATTGTAAGTTGAAATTCTTTTTTTGATATCGTAATATGATATATTAATATTATTTATCTTTATATTTGATTTGTACATTCGATGTTTTAAAATATCGAAATATTTGATTTTATATATATTATATATATATATTTTTTTTATAAATTTATGGTTAATATTTAATGCTTTGATATATCATTCTGATAACTTTTTTTTCTTTTTTAAGAAGAAAATTTGTTAAAATTTTCTTTATACATTATATTTATTTATAAAAGATATAGTTTAGGTTAGATTAGGTTATGTTTTTCGATCGTTTAAAACTAGGACATCTAACAATTAATTGATTTTGACATGCTCTCGAACGGCCATAAAGTGCATTTGAATGACGTTAAGTGACTAAAATAATCACGAAATGATCTTGAATAGCTTTCAAATGATCGCGAATATCCTTTGAATGACTTTAATTATTCTATTGTCCTGAATTCTATTTTATGACAATGATGCAAATTCGTTAATTAAAAAATTAATATAATTCATTTTTTTGGTCATTATATAAATTTTAATCAAGAATTTTGCATAATATTTTTTTTATCGGTATTCTTATTCAAATATTGATGTAATAAAAAAGTTAAACATAGTTATATTATTTCGTATTGGATTATTTTGAATTGGAATTATACGTGGAAACTTAGATTAATATTTTAAATAATTCACAAGTTATGTAAAGTTTCAAGGGAGAAAGTTTAAATGAAATACTTGTCTCTTTTCAAAGAAAAGAACTGTTGCAATGTGGTGCAATGTTATTTGATTCTTTACGCATAATAATATTTGAATTCAGTTTTTTTTTTAAGAATTCATTTTAAATAAACATAAAGAAATTTCTTAAATTATTCTCTTATTTGCAAAAATTTATGTTTCCAATTTTTATAATACTTATTTACAAATTTTGTTCAATTCCATAAAATTTTTTTTGATAAAAATGAATATATAATAATTTTAGAAAATTAAAATAAATTTAAAAATAAATTTACAAATTTCTAATAGCATTTCTACAAAATGCATTTCACAGTTTCCAAAATTTGTTAAATTATTTCGTATCATACATCATATCTCGCCAAACATTTAAAAGATCAAGAACCTCCTACTCATGAAATCAAACTTGTTGTGTATTGGGACGACAAAATAGGAGTATGAACGTTATCTAAGAGTCCAGGTCATAAGCTTTACATAATACTGGTTTAGCTGACTGTAATATTGAAAGCACGATAACCAAGATGGCAAAGTGTCACGTATCTAGTGACAATTATGAAACAAGCAGTAATTAACTGTACCTGTTGTCTCGCGTTGATTCGTGAGTTATCGAGCTATTCATGCATCACTCTTATGAATAATAGTTTCCATTGATTTGTTCTCTACTGTTGAACGAGATATTCGATGAAGCTATCGTTATTATTTGATTATTTTCTCTCCTAATTAATAATAATTTTATAAAAAAAATTCTACAATCTTGTTCTTTATTTTTTTATTTTTTTATTTTATAATTATACTCTGAATGAAAGATATTTGTTTGATTAATGCTATTTATAACGTTTTTGTTTTTTACGTTTATGGAATTCAAACAATCAAGTTATTGATTTATATAAAATAATTTTTGATATTAAAAAAATTCTAGGATAAACATCAAATTAAATTATCAATATATTTAATTTACTATACGTATATATTTGAATAATTTAATAAATTGAAATAAATTGTGATATATACAAATTATATATATTTCTAAATTTATTTTATAATTACAGATATGTAATTGATCCATAACAACTGGAATTTCTATAAAAATTGTCAAAATTATTTCTTTTTTTCTTTTTTTTTGAAAATTAAAAATTCTGAATTCTTCAATTTAAAAGGATTGTGAGAAATAGCATGATATCTATCCAGAACCTCGAAATTAAATGCATTCCTTCAAAAAAGGTTTCTTCTATTTTAATTCACAGTATTAAAAATAGTAAATTTAAGAGTATAATAATTTTAATTACTCATATGTAATCTTTACTCGCCATATAAATCAATGATCAAATGTCTAATTCGCATAATCTCATGTAAAATAATTAATAATAGTACAATTACTCTAATATTTTTAATCAAATACTATTAAAATGATCACGACACAGAAGATGTTTAACCAGATAATCTATTATATCTCAATCACCTATGCAATAATCGTTATCCTTTATTCTATATATTTCTCTATTTACAACACACTTCAGTATGCATCTACATTATATTATATTTTACATTATACCCGCCCACGTAAAGTCGATTTCGAGAAATCTGCTTTCGAATTCGGTTCCGATATGATAAATATACATTAGTCGGCCAATATATGGAAGCATCTGGATCGACAATAAACGATCCCGCGATAACGGAATGTGACTCGAATTCTATCCGCTATAAACCATGAGTTTTCACGTATTATTTGCAATCCGAATTTCACGATCGCGAGGGGGATCTAAATCAGATTACATCCCCTATCTATTAATCAGAGCTTTTATGCATGATGGAAATAATGCCTGCCTAATTGATCCGCGCGAATCGCACATGGATTTGTTAGCCGAAACCTTTTATACGAGTATAATAAACAAATGGATGATTAATATCGCCGTGATGGCATATCGATAATATAGATTTCTACTACTTCAAGAAATTTCGAGCTAATCGAGAGTTAATATTGTTACGATACTATGGAGAATCGATCTAGGGAAATTCGAAGTATCGAGTTAATATTGGTACGACAGTATAGTATAGAGAATTCTCGATTTAGTATGGAGGTTTCTCGATCTAGGGAAATTTTTTGAAACGAACGATCGATATTGTTTTCTCCATGAACAAATGATTTTTCGCGAAAATATGAAATACTCTGTGTGTAACAAATTATTTTTATTCGGCCTTTTCCAAACTATCCAACTTGTGGCACAAAATACAGTCTCGAAATTACAATAATTCGAGACTAAAGTCCTGTACAAATGAATTTATCACAGCCTTCGTTGACCCATCTTTAATTTAGGAAACGTAACGAATCCTCTTAAATCCTCAATGTGCAAAAAACAAAAAATTCGTACCATCTCGTACGAAACACCCTGTATAATTTACCAGTATCCGTATGACTCGTGACTCGTAAAATTCCTCTAATAATATCTGCTCGATCGCGCAAGGGGGAGCAAAAACTATCCTCCCATTCCATCTTCCATCACGCATCCCTCTCCCGCTTATCTCTCGATCCTTACGACCGTTCCTTCTTCCACCAAGAAAACTCTTCTCTACCCTCTTCCGCGTAATTCCTTTCTTCCTTTCTTTCTTCCTTCCTTCCTTCCTTCTCCCTCCTCCGGTTATCAAGAGGTGGTGGACCGATCTCTCTCTCTCTCTCTCTC